ATGATATTTGAATAAAAGACGTCGAAAGTTGCAATATTTTTTTGTGCACAGAGAGCTCTTCGCTGCTTCGCTGCCGACGCGCTGCCTCGTACCCAGGCGTCGCTCCTTGTTTGAGCGCGGTGCGCGTGGGGTTGTGGGACTGTTGCAGGCGAGAAGACGGGAGTGCTGGGCCGCGCGCTCCCTGTTTTCCCGCTCGCATGCAACGTGTTTTCCCGCTCACAACGGCGCCTGGGGACGAGGCAGCTTTGGATGCACATCGACATGCACATCGTGTAATCATCGTAGTCATAACCTTGGCACGGCCTTGGCACGAGAGAGTGCACTAACTTGCGGGAGGTCGTGCGAGTACCACACGCGCGCGCTAGATTCCAGTTTTCCACAACATTTCCGGCAAAGAATTCCCAGTCCTACCCTCCCCTCCCTCAGACCAAATCACATCAAATGCCTATCGAAGCAATACTGATCACACAAACACCCAAACTGCATTTAACCACTTTATTGCATTTCTACTGTTACAGTTTATTTCCCTGCATGTGCGCACCTACATACATCACAGCGTAATTTTCATTGAGGAAAAAATAGCAAGTCTTATTTCGCCGAGTAACTTGCAACTTGACGGATTTCTCAGTGAAAAGCGTTTCTTATACTGTAATCTCAATTATCTTTCAACAGTAGTCCTTATAAATATTTACTTGACATGGACTAGCTGCCTCGCTTTCGAAATGCAAACTTGCAAATTTTGTCATTCCAAGAAGACTCAATTCGTGGGGGGTGGAGGGGGAATATATATGTTTAAGAATTTCGGTGATACGCTGACAATCCCACTAAAGATCTGTCTGTCCTTCCCTCCACTCCCCATCCCTCCCTCCCCTCCCTCCCTCCCCTCAAACCAAATCGCATCAATAGTCAATCAAAAATGACGCAAACTCCAAAACTGCATTCAACACCTTTATTGCATGTCTGCTTTTACAATTATGGCTCTCTACATGTGCTGAAATAACATCAGTTCTAAAAGCGAAAAAAAAACTAAACTACAAAGTTAATTTTAACAGCAGTTTTCCATGTTTTGGTCAAAACTGGAAATGTATGAATCGTTATTCACTTTCGGCCAACGAAAACCGGGGGTTTATGATCACGGTGGTTGAAGCGAGGGTTGCGATCGTTGCCGGCATTGTTGTTCACTGTTCCGCCGCTCTGGTGGATGTGTTGCCCTTGCTGACCGATTCCGCCTGAAACGGTTTGGCCACCATTAATGTTGAACTGGGGGTCGTTCTGAGGTGTTTCTGAAAAAACGAGATTAAGCCTGAATTTAGACGGTTTCCTTGAACAACAAGGACTTAAAAGTACTTCATGTCATGATTCTCACTAATTTTCGCGCGTACTTAATTTCACAAAAATGAAAATGCCCCATATATTTCGCGAGAACTAATTTTCGCGAATTAATGGGAAAATAGACTCAAAAGAAACTAAATTTCGCGAAAATGTCACAAAATTTTCAGCATTTTAAAAAATCCGCCATTCACGATCGGAATTATAGCAATAAAGTGTTCAATTGAGAAAGCATCAGTACTTAAATAAGAACAAAACGCAATGAACTGGGATTGACGGTTAAACCATCTTTTAACTGAATTTTTTAAACGATTTCAACTGTCATCACAACTCGAGACAAAAAAAAAAACATTTAACCGATGACAAGCAACCCAGAGAAAAACGCGCCAAAGTTAAATAAGTTATGGAAAATGTTTCCTCCAATTGGTTAGCGGATGTCGAGCAGATTTATCGAGCGTTCATCGAACTCAAGAAAACAGAGCAAGCACAAAATTAGTCCATTGGTGAAAACCTCCCCAGAATCGTTCCTTGCATTTTGCAATATACAAAGCAACTGTCAACAACAACTGATAGACTTACCAGCAGCAGTCCTTTTATCATAGTCAGGAACAATAATCTGTCCCATCGCCAGGCCCAAAGCCGCGATAAATAAGAAAACAAGGCACTTCATATTCCTTTCAAATTACAAAATTGTGGTTGTCAGTATAGCTTGTAAACAGTATTAGATGCATTTTATGTGCCTATTGTAAATCTGAAAACACTTTCTTAGCACTAAACTGTTTGCTGATAAATCTTAGAAGGATATAATCGAATATAAAAAAGAAAGGAAAGTATAAGCTCGGGTAAATTGGTATACCAAATCCTAACACTAGCTCTAATTTGAGTGTATTTAAAATTGGAGCTAAGAAACGTAATATACATGTTAAGGGAATTACCTTTTGAGGCAAAATCAACAGTTGATTGTAGAAGACTTCTGGACACTCTAAAGCGTTTCTTGTAACCACTGTGAAGGGTGAATTGATCAGTGAAACATCGTCTGTTTATATAACATCCAACAAATTAGCATATTTATTCATGCCATGGTTAAAGTTCATTGATTTCAACAGGAAACGGAACGAGCAGAAGCAGAAGCAGATCGGAGCATAAGCAGAAGAAGGTCAACTTCAGGAAACGGATGATAACAACTTCAGGAAACGAAAACAATGAAGGTTCCATTTGGGCGTGTTCAGTGGTGCGAGCCATTGGTGTACCACGAGCAAAAATCGACAAAAACCGCAATACTGTGTCTAAGTTTCTACATCGATCCAATCTTCAGCTTATATCAAGGAAACGTTAAAACGGTGGATTTAATAGAACACTTTTCCAACTGTTTCGGTCGATACGGTTGAAGTATATTCAACAATCCTTTCAACGAACCCAACCAACCGAATGACTGTTGATCACTTACAACAGAACACGACATAACAGTCACCAAACATTTCAACCTAAAACAGTTTGAAAGTTTAATTTCTACCAAATAAATCAAGAACGGTTGCCGTTGACATGATTGGCCTCAACTGAAGACAACCTACCAAAGTTAAAAACTTGAACCAAATTAACATTTTAAAAGAGCTTACAGCAATTAATTTTTTTTAATGATTTCATTGTTCGTGTTCAATAACATCACGGGCACGGTGTTCAGTGGACACAAGCAGGCGAATTAGGCAAATGTTTTCTAAATTTCTCAAGTGTTCTCAATTAGAATTCGCGAATTCATATTAGAAGACGGGAAACTCGTCTCAGACGAAATTCCGTCTAATATGAATTTAGGACGGTAAAATTAGACGTTTAAATGACTTAGCCGTCGGAGACCGAGGACGTGTATGAGGCCAGGTTTTCATTTCTATCCCAGAAAACAATTGCTGAATTTCCAGTTCCAGTGTAGCAAACAGGAAACCCGTCCTCATTTTCTCGTCTATTGACGACTTTTCCGCCTGATTTTCCCGTCGTTTAGACGGGAAAATGGACGAATAAATTTGAGACGGGAAACTCGTCCTTCACCGGATTCATATCAGACGAGTTTTCCGTCTCCCGTCTAAGACGGTTTCCGTCTCTAATATGAATTCGGCTATTAATATGTAATAGGACTACATTATGTCCAATTTGGAAATAATTGGAAGAAAAAACTTTCCAAGGTCTGCCAAAATTGGACGAGGCCATAGGCTGAGTCCAATTTGGCAGTCCGAGGAATTTTCAGTTGAATTCAACTGATTATTTTCAAATTGAACAAACATGTAGTGCTATTAGGTTTTAATTACACCTATTTCAATTAATATAACGTTGTCGGATAGAAATGTTTTTAAAAGTCCGCAAGACAAGACCGAAAGGTAGCAAGGGTAAAAGTAGAAAACTGCTGCACGCGCCGAATACTAATAAGAAGTAACATGAAAAACATTATTTCTAACGTTTCCTTTTGTTTTAAACCTGTAGAAGTAAGCTACTTTTAGCCAAACTAAAACAGGAACAGGAAACGGAACGAGCAGAAGCAGAAGCAGATCGGAGCATAAGCAGAAGAAGTCACGATCAATTAACTTCAGGCAACGCCCCCGGAAAACATACAACTACAGGAAACTAATGAAAATAACTTCAGGAAACGAAAACAATAATTTGTTTCCGATTGTTTCCGCCGGTTCAGCTTGGGGTTTTTTTCGTGTTCGGTTAAGGCCCGTTTACACATGCGATTTTTTGATGCGATTTGTCGCGGCGATTTAGTGGCGATTTATCCGCGCGATTCCAAATCGCCCGTGTAAACCAGCTGCGATTTCACGGCGATTTGACTGCGATTTCAGCGCGATTTTAGTGCGATTTTCCATGAAACGTGATAATTTTAAACAGCGGCATTGCATTGGGGCATGTGCATACGCCTTGAAAACATTATTCAAAGAAATACACTAATAACTAATAAAACTGTTTTGAGAATGCTTTTACCAAAGAAGACAGTGCTTACCGGTAAAAGTGCAGTCCTTAAATTGGGACTGCATAGCTCGCAACAGCTCGAGCGGCTTTTTTGTCGTTGCGCTTGTAGTCTGCGGAAGTTGTGTTACAAAGACAGTCTTTTTTCTGCCCAGCAGCTTATTAAATAGTCTTCCTCCTCTAATGTCCAAATTTTCTTTTTGACTTTTGGCGTTCGCGGGGAGACTTCTTTGAGGTCGAGCTAGCCGTATTGTTTACGTCCGCCATTTTTTGTCGACAAACATACCCTTGGGGTGGTACGCCAAGGCGGATTTTTGGTCAAATCGCCGATATATCGCATAAAATTCGAGCAAGTTCGAAACAGCGGCGATTTCGCGGCGACAAATCGCCGTGAAATCGCAGCTGGTTTACACGGGCGATTTGGAAGTGCGCGATAAATCGCCGCGACAAATCGCATCAAAAATCGCATGTGTAAACGGGCCTTAATTAGAAAGCTATTTTTCGGTTTGATTTGGTTGATCAACTTTTTTCAACCCGCGCATCAAAGTCGGTTGAAATGGTGGATTTTGTTGAAGTTTCCCAAAAGAACACTTTTTTAATGTAACGGAGTATTCAACAATCCTTTCCACAAATTCTCATTCATCGACAAATCTAATCCTAGTAGTATGCGGGATGTTTGTCACACTTGAACATAGTTATATGGCCTAAGCTCCCACGAGTCTCCTGTAGCTCAGTGGTAGATGCGTCCGACCGGTGTGCGGAAGGTCAATCATAGGTTCGACTCTTGTTGGGGGAACTCGGAATTTTTTCCGAGTAGCTTGTGTCACTGACAGAGCAATATATTTCTCACAATCCTTTCACTTACTTAATTATCCCGATTTTAATCGGGTTAATTTCACGGTTTGGCGCATGTTCAGGCTTATCAACTTTATCCGTCTAAAAAGCCCCACTTACATGTACTTTGATAGTACTTCAGTAATCACATACTGTAATTAGTCCAAGCATAACGACGAATGACCAAAATTCACAAAAAATTTCAACGGATTACACCGAGGATATCAACAATGAATACCAGAATATATTACCAAAATAACTGAAGTGTTTGACCATATGGTTTGACCGAAGGATTTATTCTGGTAATTTGTATTCAAATGTCGACATTCTCCGTTGAAATGTTTTTGTGAATTTTGTTCATTAATTCGTCGTTTTGCTTGGATTACTGAAGTATCGACAAGTACATGTGAGTGGGGATTTTAAACGGATAAAGTTGATGAGCATGAACATGCGCCGAACCGTGAAAAACCCCACCAATCCAACCAACCCCTATTGCCCGTTCCGAACTTCAAAAGGGGCTGGGCCCTAGTTTACCCATTGTTCAAATTGCGTCATATTAGAAATGAATTCCATCGTATGTGACATCACAAACATCATTAATAATTCGCAAAAAAATACAAAATAAATGAATGTTTAATAAATTTCTGTAAATCTTCCTGATTTACATAAACTTTTCCTTCGATTTATTCGCCTGAGATAGTCGATAAACATGGAAATTTAGATACAATATTCGCGTCAGATCTATATGGGATTTATAATGGATCGCCTTCGGCTATCCATTATTAATGCCCATTACAGATCTGCCGCGAATATTGTATCTATCACTTGCCTAGCAACCAGGCTGTGAGCTGCGACATCAAATAGACTGCAAAACAGTCCGTATTTTAGCGCAAGAGTCGGGCTTGAACGTGGCCCGAAAAGGATCTGGAACGAGCGTGAAAATTACGAGTGGGATTGGGGAGAGACGCAGAAAAAGAGAGACTGTTTTTGCAGTCTAGACATCAAAGGTCGCCCAAATTATATACAAATGTCTCTAATTCAGAGATGGTGTACCCCAAATCCATACAAAGTCCGGCTAATTTTTCTAATGTTTGAAAGCCTTCTACATGGTTGCAATCTAACGAAACAACCCCAAACGTGGTAAACTCTAGGCTAATTTTAATGTGATCTTTCTTGTGATGGGCTACAAATTTTAATCAAATTAAAATTTTAAAAAAACTCGTCCCCAGTCTCCATTTGAACTTTCGAACGGGCAACCTAACAGTTAGGCCTGGGCCAAACGTCGAAACTTCGGTAAAATTTTGCGACTTTGCGGAACTATATATTGGCGATTTTACAAAATATGAATCTACAATTTGGCCAATTTAGTAATTTCAAGGTGCTCTTTCCCAGCAGTGTCGATAGACTTTTGCCTAACTGGCCAGTATCAAGTTGAAAAAGCCCGTGGAAGGGTCTATCGAATCGAAAAACCAATTAAAGATCACCAAAACTGCATTTAACAACGCCTTTATTGCATTTTTACTTTACAGTTAAAATTCCCTGCTGTGCTGGCCAATAAAATACGCACAAGCAAACAGGGAAATAAAGGGGGGGGGGGGGGGGGGGGGGTACTTGGGGTATTTTAGTGATGGGGAGTTGCGAATGACTGCAAATTTTCTGCCACCCGGCCAAACCATCAATGTTATTGTTTCCGTATCCGGGGTTCCAAACCTTGGTTGTTGTTATATTTTGAACCGCGCCATTCCATCCCGCGTTAGTAGTTGCTTTGCCATGTTGCTGTCGCCATGTTTGCTGTTGCCATGGTTGTTGTTGTCATGGTTGCTGTTGCCAGGTTGCTGTCGCATGGTTGCTGTTGCCATGGTTGCTGTTGTCACGGTTGCTGTTGCCATAGTTGCCACCTCGCCATCCGTAGTTGTTCATGTTGACGTCCACCATACCACCACTGGTTTGTTGTTGCTTTCTCCCCCATACCAGTCAAATTTGATATTGCCGTACCCGCCCTGGCCACTGTGCGTTGTTGTTATTGATGCCGCCTTTCCATTGGTTAATGGTAATTGTTGCTGCCGCTGCCACTGTGCGTTGTTTAGCGTTGAGTCTGTTGGCGCGCCTTTCCATTGATGGTTGATATTGTTGCGTCCGCCATTCCATCCTGCGTTGTTGCTGGGGTCATTCAGAGGTGTTTCTGGAAAATTAAAGTTATGATAACCGGAATTTTTAAGTCAAATTTGAGAGGGACATTCAATAAGGGGGCGTGGGTCAGGGAGAATTAGATGCCTAAATCAACTTCCCAAAAAAAACTTAAAAAACATTAAAGTCACCCACACTCACCCCACCCCTACAAGAAGAAACCCTTAAAAAATCCTGCGCCGCAGCTTCAAGATGTATCATATACTGACCCCGGTTGATTCATGAAAGACCCGGCAGAAAAATCCCGCGGTTAGTAGGTAGGTTAAGGTATTGGATATATCTAGCAAAACAGAGCAGTTGCTAACAAAACTAAACTGATGTATTTATACCAATCATGTTTTCCTCCAGCTTTGCAGGATCCCATGATTCTGTAAAGAAATAAATTAAGATATGTTAGACAAGACTCTGAAAACACATAACGCGTTCCCGTAACGATGTAACGTGTTTACCTTTGCTTGTAGTTTTGGTCTTTTCCATTCTGGAGAGGAAAATGCAACCGCCGGACCCAAAGTTACCAAGAAGAAAACAAGGCACTTCATATTCCTTTAAAAAAATACATAACAGAAATTCAGTGTTAGGTTGTCAGTATAGCTCAATGAAGTATGATCCATTGTAAATCTGTAAAACACTTTTCAAGCACTAAAATGTTTGCTAAAAAGTGGTCCCCAATTAATAAAGTGCATTTGTGGACAGCTAGTAGACTCGACACTTAAAGACCTTAAATAAAGTTATTGATTAATTGATGTTAGAAGGAAATCAAAACGAATGGAAAAGATTAGTTACGCCGGTAAATACATTGTAGGTATAAAATCCTAACACTAGCCCTAACCTATTTCCTAAACTATAAAGCATTTAAGGTCGGACACACTTGGCGACAGTCGCAAGCGACATGACGCGGGAACAGGTCGCAGCGGCAATTCCCTTCGTGTGACATGCCCGTTTTAATCGGAAAAAGTCCTTGTCGCGCTGCGACAGAATTTTGTCGCCGCGACAGGTCGCACAAATCCAAACTGGTTCAGTGAATTCGTGCGTCAAGGTCGCAGCGACAAAATGACACAAATTATCACTGTCGCCGATGGAGTAAACACAAGGGGACAGGTCGCAGAGACCTGTGTCCCGGCTTTTAGGCTGTTCAGTTTTCATGCCTCTGGAACTAACCTAGTTAACATTGAGAAACGTATGCCCGCTGAATCAACAGTTGATTGTAGCAACTTCTGGACACTCTAAAGCGTTTCTTGTAACCACTGTGGATGCGTGAATTGATCAGTGAAACATCGTCTGTTTAAATAACATCAACAAATTAGCCTATTTATTCATGTCATGGTTAAGTTCATAGATTTTTCACCGAGAAAGAAAACGGAAAGAAAACCAGTCCAGGAAACGGATGGCAACAACCTCAGGATACGGAAAGAAACAGCTTCAGGAAACGGGAAAAACAATTAAGGTTCCATGACGCCATATTTTTTGGCTTTTGACTTTCGAAGTGATGCCCATGATACTGAGTGCCCCTTTATTTTAGGCGAAAACTATTTTTATTATTTTACTGATCAACCAGAAACTCAATCGATTGAAACAGTGGATTTTTATGACGTTTTCCAATAGGCAATGGTTACAACTTCTAGATGATTTAATTCCTATACATGCATAAAAAACAGTGTCTGTAGCTATGAACGTAATCAGGAAATAGTGAGTGTGTTTATAGCCAATCAAATTAAGATAGCCATAAACATTGACGTGTAATCATGTGTTATTAGATTTTTGAAGCCATGAGCATTTTTTATAAATGAGATGTTCAAGGTCGGTCATTAAATTCAGGGCACCAAGAAGGGGGGTTTATTGGACAGGGGGCTTAATAGAGAGGGTGGCTTATTTCAAATCATAAATGTTCGAAAAAATTCACATTAATTTTTCAAACTTTACAATTACACCACTATACTAAAATAGAACAAGAAATGGTTACGTATCGGCCGTCTTACAAATTCAAGGTCATTTATACTCTAACTAAAGCTAACTAAAATACTTCTGCGAAAATTAGAGAGCACGTTTCAATACAAAGTGAATGAGACGCCAGACTGAAATATTGCTGAAACGTTATTTACACTCAGCCTGACTGAAATCAGTTTTGATGCTATATTTACCATTTAACTCTGACCTCTAACAAGTTGGTGGTGGTGGTGGGGGGGGGGGGGGGGGCTTAATAATAGAGAGGGGCTTATTATATAATCTGACTTCCAAAGGGGAAGCTTATTAAGAAGGGGGCTTAATAGAGAGAGGGGGGAAGGGTATGAATAGAGCTTTTACGGGCGGCGAGTGGAAAATTAGAGAGGGCGGAAATAGCGGGATTCCCACGTGGCATGAAAACTGGAATAGAAAAAATCGCAACATACGTAATATTTTGCAATAGGAAAAGCACCATAGGCGGGAACCACGAAAGCGGGAAGTTCTGATCTATCTGCCTCCCCCAATTCCAAAGCAACAAAGTTGAAAAGATTACCCACGTGAAACTCACATTATAAACGGTGCCAGGGATTTGAGAAGAATTTCGCATAAATTAGGATTGGTGGTGAATTTTGAGACAAGTGACGTAACTAGAGCTTAGACACAAGTTGCTCGAAAATTCCTTAAAAGTTGCCCCAAATTATAAAAAAGTTGCCTAAAAGTTGCCATTTTTTTAAAAAATTGCTCAAAAGTTGCCAATTTTCCAAAAAGTTGCCGAAAAAATTCATGTGGAATTGCTTTTATTTGTGATTCATTTCTTTAGATATAGATACTTTT